GCGGCTGTGACGGCGACGGCGGCTGTGACGGCGACGGTGACGGTGACGGTGACGATGACAGTGACGATGACAGTGTGACCACTGACGTTTCGTTTCGGATCGACTACAACGCGTGTGTATACATACAACCAGTTGCTTGTTGCGTAACTACTACTTTACGATAGCAATCTCCTCGTTGCCCTGTCGAATGCAGGTTCAACATTACTAGACATTACCTTTTCATCACCTATTTGCAAAATCGGACACCATTTGTTCAATCAACTGCCGTAAAGTGGTAAGTGCTGTCATTGTCGATGTTGAAACTTATTAAAAGTATATTACACAAAAAATGTTGGTTTTCACAGATTTTTAATTTCTGACAAATTCTTATAATTTTTGATTCAGTACGCCACGGCGCACAACTGTTTCTAACGTATTTGTAAACGTTGGGAGTCAACCGCCAAGACAATGTGTTTGTAAACAATTTTTTACGACTCGCATATCATGACCTGTAAGCCCGCAAATGGTCTAATAAAATAGTGTAGTTGCCGTTAGAATTTTATAATTTTAGAATTTTATAGTTTTTATAATTTCACACGTGCAAGTAATGCAGATATGATAATATTCGCATATAAAAACAAAGATGAGCATAATCTATTTAATTTCTAACATCTACTAAGGCAATTGAGATAAAATGAAACAGAGCATATAAAGTTCTCGAATTTTCATACGCATTGTAAAGTATGCAAAGGTGGAGGTATACAAGTGATATCAAGTGAAAAGCTGTACATATCTGTATACATATGTATGTAGGAAAATTGCGTCGTAGAACAACTTGCACAATTTACAAGCGACAACGTGTACACTATCGAAGCCGAGTGTCGCATTACATACAGGCATACAGGAAATCGGCGCGTCGTATACAGTGTACTCGTATTGTAATGCTATTTGAGTTCTTTTGTCGATCAATCAAATTCGGTTTTCTTTTTCACCTTTCGTTCTTTTAATATTGTTTTCTTGTAGATTAATCGGTCGATAGATATATCAATATATCGTACCGTAAATCTGGATTTAATTTTTCTATAAAATGTTTAGATAATATAAATTATCAAATTTGTTGATGAAAGAAAGAAACAATATTTTATTGTACTTGTCTAATATTATATAAGTGAAATTACTTAATTTAAATATTACGTTAACGTTTGAACTGAAACTTATGTGAAAATTACTTAAAAATGAAGAATATTGAAAAATAAGACCACTTAAACATCGATTGGAAAATACTCTTTTGCGTTCCTGTTATTCTTGAATTATTAAGCACAGAATAAAATTGACTCATAAAATAGATGGACGATGAAACTTAATTGTTCGCGAAAAGACCGTGCGTTCATACACAGACATATATATTTAATGCAAATAATTATAATTAATAATGCAAATAATTATATATAATATATATATATAATATTTGAAGCTAGCCAACAAGTTGATTTTTTGATGAGATTGTATTAATGATAAAGTTATATGATATAATAGCAAAATTTGAAGAAATATTCGTTATAGGAAGTGGTATATTGCTATCAGTTGTTTTACTAATTGCAATATTACCGGAATTTTTTTGTAATTAAAGCCTGAAAAAAAGAAAAATTGTTGGGTATAGCGAAAACTAAAATAGCTTTACGAAATACCGATTAACGATTGAGAGTCACTGTGCGAATGAACTTCATTAATCTGGCCGTGGCTGGGACCCTGAAGCCATGAGGCTTCGGTGTTGTATCTTGTCTACGTGTGTTCTTGGTATCAAGCATTTTCTTGAACACCACGTGTGTATACAATACTTGCTATAGGTGTTACGTTTAGATTAGTTTATGTTTAGATTACATAGTCTATTATATTATTATATGATAATGTTAAGTTAGTATTACATAGCTACATTTAGATTAGAATAGTTATGCATGGCCCACAACTATTAACCACTAACCAGAATCGTCGACCCATTTTTTCGATATATTTTTTTACTTACTCTACCGTTTGTACATTTAATTTTTTTTCATTTATTTTGTATTTATTTCATCTATTCTCTTTACTCGCCCAACCATATATTCTGTATGTCCAAGTTCATTTCTCTTTTCTAATATTTTGCCATTCTTCGATCTTATATTATCCATCTTTTTCTACCTTTCCCTTTTTCTTTTCCTTCGCTCTTTCAATTATTTCTACGATTTTTATCAAAAATCTGTATATTTTTATTTTGCGTCCTTGAAACTGTTGCTTTTATCTTCTTTTAATGAAATACGGTTAATTTCATACATTTTACTTATTTCCTTTTTTTTTTAAAGAGGAAATAGAATTTTTATACTCATAAGTTACAAAAATTCATCCATCGTTTATGATTGCTCTCACTATTCTATTAATTTTCTAATTATAATTC